GATCGCTCAGCCCACAGACTTCTACAGGTCACACTCAGGTGTCGGTGGCTGTTTCCATCAAGGCTTGGGTGTTGGGGACACACTCCATTGTGTGTAGTGGCCATTATGTGAACTGTCACGGATGTTGTAAACAATCTATTAGAACAGTTTCCTCTTGATGTGTTTTGGGCCTCAGCTTTTGTGAGCCTGGCTGGTGGAATTAGCTTTAAGTTCTGGCCCCACACCTTCTGCTTCCTGGTCTACTGTGTAGTCTCTGCCACACTCAGGCCGCCGTGAGCCCCACGCGCCTCTCCCACAGTGGCGGACTGAAATCCCTCAAACAGTGATCCGAAATAAACATTCTTTTCCCGTCATGCCTTTTGGTAAAGTGAAGAAAAAGTAACTACTATGATGCCTTTCAAGGAGTTGTCCATTTAACTTAGGCCATAGATCTTACTGTTTGAATAAGCAATTTCAAACCATTTAACACAACATTGTGCCAGACCATGGTGGCGCACACCTTTAATCCCAGCACTTGGGAGGCAGAGGCAAGCAGATCTCTGTGAGTTTGAGGCCAGCCTGTCTACAAAGCTACCCAAAGAAACCCTGTCTCTAAAATAAAAAACAAAACAACAAAAAGCAAAATCCCCCAAAACAAACATACCATTGTAAATGCTTCCAGTGGGTCTGATTATGAATTCTAGTCTCCCAGAGGAACCGCCTACAGTCAGGTGTCTGCATCGTGGTGTTCTACTTCCGTGGCCAGACTGCATTTGCTGTTGAAACCTGGTGTAGAAAGGAGTTGAGCCAAATAGTACAAGTCTGTACTCCAGCATGTGGGAAGGTGAGGCAGGAGAATTGCTACAAGTTCAAGCCTGGCCTGGCCTACACAGGGAGTTTCAGGCCTGTCAGGGCCATATAACAAGGGATTATTATTTCAAAAGACAGGCAAATAGAAAGCAGACCCCAGCCAGGTGTGGTGGAGCCCGTTCATACCCCAGTGTTTAAGACGCTGAAGCAGGGTTTGTTTGTTTTGACCTCCTGAGTGCTGGGATTAAAGGTGTGCGTCCCCACATCTGGCTCTGATACAATTTGAAGACAGCTACATAGTATGGTTTGAGGCTGTTTCAAAAATCCCAAACCAAAGCCAAACAAAAGATGCAAAATCAAAGTTAATGAGGACAGCGATAGCTCACCATGTAAAGGCACTTGAAACACAAACCTAACGGCCTAAGTTCAGTCCCCAGAACCAAGTAAAGTTGGAAGGAGCAAACTGACTCCAGAAAAAAAAAACTTGAGAAAACATTGCATTTTATTCAAAGGCTTTGGAGAACACCTTGACTGGAAACTTGGAGTAGCAGCTTGAGATGCTCTGCATGACGAGAAGTAGGCAAATCTCCTGGGATGCAGCCTGCTCTTTAAATATCTGTGTTTAAATCGGGCAGTGGCTGGCCCATGCCTTCAGTCCCAGCACTCAGGAGGTAGAGACAGAGACAGTGGGATCTCTGAGTTCAAGGCCGTCCTGGTCTACAGAAGGAGTTCCAGGATAGTGAGGGTTATCCTGTCTCAAAAAAACCAATAAATGTTTGTTTGTTTGTTTGTTTGTTGTTGTTGGTGTGTGTGTGTGTGTGTGTGTGTGTGTATGTATGAGAGAGAGAGAGAGAGAGAGAGGCTGTCTCAGTGTATGCCACATGTATGTGGGTATCCGCAGAAGTCAGAAAAAGGCATCAGATCCCTGAAACTAGAGCTCGAGGCAGTGTGTGCTATCAGAAGTGGGTGCCGAGATCTGAACTCGGGTCCTCTGAATCTCTGAGCCATGTCTTCTGCCCCAGGCAAGTTTGGTGGGTTTTGTTTGTTTGTTTTGTTTTTGTTTTTTGTTTTTTCAAGACAGGGTTTCTCTGTATAGCCCTGTCTGTTCTGGAACTTACCAAGCTGGCCTCTAACTCATAGAATAGAAATCCACCTGCCAGACATGTTTTTAAAGAGCGCAGGTAGCCGGGTGTTGGTGGTGCACGCCTTTAATCCCAGCACTCGGGAGGCACAGACAGGCGGATCTCTGTGAGTTCGAGACCAGCCTGGACTACCAATCGAGTTCCAGGACAGCCTCCAAAGCCACAGAGAAACCCTGCCTGGAAAAAACCAAAAAAAACAAAACAAAAAACAACAACAAAAAAAAAAGAGCGCAGGTAACAAGGTATGGTGACCCATGTCTCTAATTTCAGTACTTTGGAGGCAGAGGCAGGTGGATCTCTGTGAGTTCAAGACCAGCCTGGTCTACATAGTTTCTGGCCATCCAAGGCTACAAAGTGACACCCTGTCCAAAAAAAACAATCACAAGTAAGTCTCAGCACAGAGTGCAGAACTTCAAGTGCTCTTCCGGGCTGTCCCTTCACTCCCCAGGCCCCTGTAGTATTCAAAGAGCTTTGCTATGAGCCATTAAGAGGACCATAGAGATCCCATCAAACGACAGATTGCTCAGGGAGCAGAACCCAGCATGCTGGAATGACCCCTGCTGGTTTAGGGTGGGCTCCTAAAGCGTGAAAAACAACAGGCTCCTGCTAGCCCCATATCTCCCTTTTATTTAGTGACTTCTTGCTTGCCAGCGAACTTGCAGTGGTGGCCACACCCTAGGGGCGTGGGTTCAGGTGTGCAGACGTGAGCCCTTGGGTGGTGGTCAGGTCATCGGAAGGGAGCAGGAAGACTGGAGTGGTTATTTACTATTAATTGTGTAAGTGCTTCCCTAGTAAATGCAAGTTTATCGTTTATCTTGGGTTTTGTGGACCCATTTAAACCCGGCCTTCACTCTTCTCCAGAGGGTTCTGAGTTCTGCTTCTTCCAACCCTGGGTACCAGATGACAGGATTTCTTCTTGGCCTCTGAACAGGACCACAATGAACCCACTGTCAGGAAGAACAATGGGAATGGACTGGGAAAGGAGGGAGGCCACTGAAGGTCTGAGAGATGCTGTGCGTGATGCTTGGGACATACCAGGAAGATGCCCATCCTCCGCTTGTCCTCTGCCTGGTCCCTGTGGAGCTCCAGGGTGGGTGAGGCAGGGTGTGTGTGTGCACGCGCTTTGGAATGCTGTTGCAATCTGGGTGTCCAGAGCAATGCCAGCCTCCCCAGGCTGTGGGACAGTGTCTGCTAGAAAGGCATTCAAGTCCGGGTATTGGTTATTTGGTTGGGGGAGATTAAACATTCCTAAAGAAATTGCCGTGCCAGGATTCCTTCTAGCAAGCATGGTGTGGACACTTTCATCCTCCTACAAGGAAATGTAAACACCAAGCTGTTTGTCAGAGGTCTTAGGACTCCCAAAGCTGCTTTAGCCATTTGAAAACAAACTTGGTATCTGACCTAACGTCCTGATCATGGTCAGACTTTCTGTGGTGTATGTTCCAGGTAAGCTCCCTTGCTTTGACAGCAGACCCTGTCTGCCCAGGATTCTCAGTAAGAAGGGTGTTGTCTCCATTGGGTGGTCTGAATCTCCCAGCCTTTTAACTGGCCTGAGGGCCTGAGTCAGTCTGTCCTACGCAGCTGAAGCTGGCCTGGAGCTTACTTTGTAGACTAGGCTGTCCTTGAACTCACAGAGATCCACCTGCTTCTGTATCCCAAGTACAGGGACTGGAGGTATGCGTTACCATATCTGCTCTGAGTCTATTATTCATGCATTCCCTGACTGCTGATTGACAGGCACCTTTGCCCTGACTGAAAGTTGTTATAATTCTTTCTCTGGAGTCTGTGCTCCTGGGCCTGTGTCAGTTATATTGGACTAATATTAAGATATTTTATTTTTTTAAACTGTGTGTGTGTGTGTGCACATGTGCCATTGTACTCACATTGGGGTAAAAGGATAATTTGTGGCAGTCCTCACTTTCTGCCAGGTGGTTCTCCAAATTGAACTCAGGTTGTCAGGCTTGTTGGAGAGCAAGAACGTTAGGAGTCAATTCCAGGACCTGCTTAGTAGCTCTGTCCTGTCATCAAACACTCTCCTGTTCCTTCTCCCCGATGTTACAGCCGGTTTCAGGAATGGTGTTCAAGTTAGCTGGGCTGTGCTACTGGCTGGAGGGCAGTGGTCGCTTGTTCTGCAGGTGGTGCCCACAGCTGCCCACCCTGCCATGCCTGCTGGCAGACTCCTCAGCGGCGCCGGGGTATTTCCCATGTTCAGCAGAGTGGCCTGTGTGAGCATCTGTTACTCAGGTGCCACTGAGGTGGCTGCTTGTTTCCCCGGCACGGTGTTCCCTCTGTGTGCTCAGATGTGCCGAGGCCCCAGGTTCCCCCTGCAGGAAGAGGTCTGGAGAGCAGAGAGATTCTCTGGCTTTAGGCCAGAGTTTCCAGGAGGAGTCCAGGGCCTCCTTGCAGAGCCACAGCTAGTGAGCCAGGGCGCCAGGGAAAGGCACCCCTGGAATACGGAGGGATATCGTGTATCTCTGGCTCTATGCATAAAGCACACAGACTTCCCTGAGTGTCAAGGAGTGGCCTCTCTTGAGACTGCATAATAACAGGCAAGATAGCCAAGATATGGGACTTAGAAAGAGGGCGCTCCCTAGCACAGTCCACTCAAGCCACCAATGCCATCTGTGACAAAGGCAGCACTTATGTAGTGTGCCATTACCTTCCATTGCCATGTCCATGTGTATGAATGCATGAGGACGCCAGGGTCCAACTTAATCACTCTCTACCCTGTTCCCTTGAAACGAGGGCTCTCGCTGAAGCTCTTCATTCAGGTTAGGCTGGACGGCTGGCCGTTCCCAGCATTCGGCTGTCTCTGCCCCCAGCACTGGAGTCCCAGGCACTCACAACCACGTTCAGCCCTTGCAGATCCTGGGGTCTGAGGTTAGGCCCCATGTTTGCCTGAGCATCCTTACCCACTGAGCCAGCCCCCACAACCTTTCACTGTCTTATCTCTTGAGTATTGGCACTCAACATACTGGATTAAGGTTGAACCAAAGCACTTAGAACCGGAGTGGTATCGTTTCGGCAAACACAGACTCTGACAGTTCTGATTCCACTGCCCTTCAAAAGGAAGAAGAAGCTCAGATTGAGGAAGCTCTACCGTGTCTTGGAAAGGAGATGACAGCAGAGAAGTGACCCCGGCACTCAGCCACCCCTCACAGGTCGTCTGCGGAAGTAGAACAGGCGTCTCATTGGTAACAGCTACCTGATGGCTTGCAGGCCCCACCCAGTTGAGGAGCGTGGTCCTGTGCCGTTTTACCCTCACTCGGGATCTCGCTTGCACACCATGAACTAGCTTCGTTTGGGCTCTGCCATCTCCACATGGAAGTGCTCTGTGTTAACAGAAGAATTGGGGGGACTTAAAAAGGGTGAGAATTGTGCCGGGCGTTGGTGGCACACGCCTGTAATCCCAGCACTCGGGAGGCAGAGGCAGGCGGATCTCTGTGAGTTCGAGGCCAGACTGGTCTACAGAGCGAGTTCCAGGACAGCCTCTAAAACAATACAGAGGAACCTTGTCTCGAAAAACCAAAAAAAAAAAAAAAAAAAAAAAAGGGGCGAGAATTCACAAATATGAACTAGGCATGATGGCACATATATATATAATCCTAGCATGCGTGGGAAGTGAAGTCGGGAAGATCAGGAGTTCAGACCACCCTCAGCTATCTGATACCTTACCTTAAAAACCATCAACGGGGCTGGAGAGCTGGCTCACGCTCTAAGAGCACTGGCTGCACTTCCAAAGGATCTCAGTTCGATTCATAGCCCTTGCTTGCATGGCGGCTGTCAACTGTCTGTAATTCCAGTTCCAGGGATCCAATGCTCTCTTCTGGCCTCCACACACGCTCCATGCACTCAGTACATAAATATATATGTAGGCAAAACACCCACTCACATAACAACAACAACAAAATCCCACCAACAGAACCAAGCATAGTTGTGTATGACTTTGGTCCCAGTACTCAGGCAAGAAGGACCTATGTGAGATTGAGGCCAACCTGGGTCTACATAGTGAGTTACAGGACAGCCAGGGCTACATAGAAAAACCCTGTCTCAGAAAATCAAAACCACAAAAACAACCACACACATGCACACACACATAAACACAGACACCCATTCTCTCTCACACACACAAGCATGTGCATACACTCACAGTATCAAAGAAAATGTAAACTTAGGCTCTAGCTGGTCCCTAACTGTTCAGTTATGTTTGGACAAACACATTTTCTAAGCAGTGTACCATGTAGCAGCGCAGAAGGAGTTGTTTGGTTTTTACTGGTGTTTGTTTTTTGAGACCATCTTGCCATGTAGCTCAGGTTGGTTTTGAACCCTTCTGCCTCAGCCTCACCAGTGCTGGAATTATAGGCATTTGCCACACCTGCCATTGTTGGGACCCCCTCCCAGGCACTCACTGTACCAGGGAGCACCCCTCAGGTCTGAGCCCTGATGGGAGCTGTAATTGGGGACAAGAACCCTGAGAAAGGAAGCAGGGCAGGATGGCCAGCCCTGGCTTGTGGTGGCATCTGCAGGCTGAAAGGGCTCCTATCCTGGACTGCCATGAAGTAATCTGAACAGACCGGGCACCCTGACGGACAGATCGCCTGTGTTCCCAGGTGGGAAGAGTCCGAGATCAAGGTGCTGACTGGATCCTTCGGAGGTTAAGAGGGAGGACTTAGACTGCACTGCTGGTACCCTTAGTTCTCCTCCAGACCTGTGAAAGACAATCCCATCTTTGTCTCTAGCTTCACTTCCTGTTCCTCCTTCATGCATGCATTTCTGTGTCCAGATTCCTCATGTGTATGTATGTGTGCGTGTGTATGGTGTATGTGTGTGCATGTGTATACATGTGTGTGTACATGTGTATGTGTGTGGTGTGTGTGTGTGTGTGGTGTGTATATGTGTGTGCATGTGTGTGGTGTGTGTGTGTATGTGTGTGTGTGCTGGAGGACAACCATGGATGTTGTGTTCCTCAGGTGCTGACAACTTTCTTTTCCTTCCTTCCTTCCTTCCTTCCTTCCTTCCTTCCTTCCTTCCTTCCTTCCCTTTTCTTTCTTGACACAGGGTCTCTCAATGGCCTGGGAGTTGCTAACTAGGCCATTTCTGGCTGACCTTTGAGCCCCAAGAATCCACTGTTTCCGCTTCCCTAGAGCTGGGATTACCAGCGCATGCCACTATACTCAGCTTGTTTTATGCAGGTCCTAGGGATTGAACTTGGGTCCCCATCTTTTAAGGCAAGTGCTTTACTGACTGAGCCACAGCTCCCACCCCCTTCCCCTATCAAAACCTCATTGTACTTGAATTGGGATCCCTCTTCCCTAGTATGAGCTCATCTTCACATACCTGCATTCAAGTTTCACATCTGCAATGTCACATTTTGAGATCCTGGGAACTAGAATCTCAGCATATGAATTACAGGGAGACACAGTCCACATGTAACAGTCAGCATGGGGTGATCACTCATGCCAGTGACATTGCAGCAGGAAACATGGATACAGTGAGCAAACACATGCAGACTCTGAGGGAACAGCATTCCAGGAGGAGGGACCAGCACACGAGCTCTGAGACGGACACATCTAAGCACAGTAAAGGAACAGAGAAGATGGAGCTGATGGCCAGAGGTAAGAGAAGTGTGATTCAGCTGTGGAAATTCACACCTACGGATCGTATTTACAGCAGCGAGTGTGAGGAGAGGTGTTCTTATTTAGCTCATGGGAGATTACAGAAACTCTGAGACAGAGCCCACTGGCATCCTTGAGTGGTAGGGGACCAGCGATTCGCACCAAGTCCACAGAGCCGGGAAGATGCATTTCCTTCGCCAGGGAGGGCATGGATGCTAGCCTTTGTGTCACACTCCAGCTAAAGCAAGAAGGAAAGGATGTGAAGGACACAGCTGTCTTGATGACTCTGTTGCCATGAAGGGTGCCGACAAAAACATGGTAAGGGACAAGAGGCTTTGATTTCCTGTGTCAGAGAGCTATAGTCTGTCAGGCTGGGGATGTCACAGCAGCGGGAGCTTGGAGCGGCAGATCCCATCACATCCTCAGTCGGGAAGCAGAGGGAGGTGCCACTTTCTCCTTTTATACAGTCCAGGAGTCCAGTCCATGGCATCTAGGACCACGCCTAGAGGCCAGATGTTTCTAGGTCGCCTCAAATTGACAAATGAGATTGATCATCATAGTACCCACTATTGTTTACAGGTTTCTGCATACCCCCAAACCCTGGGGCATTTTCAGAGCATAAGCACCAGCTCAGCCATTTTATTCACTTACACATTGCATACACTCGTGGGCCCTGGTCATGGCTGCGGGGGCCAGCCAGCTGTGCAGATGTGGTTTGGACGGTCCAGATGTGCAGGTGCGGTTTGGATGGTCCAGCCCAGTTTCTCTGCAGCCGCCGCCCAGACACTCTACATCTCCTTTCGTGAGTGTAGACTGTGTGGCTGCTGTGGGTGAGGGCGCTGACTTTCCAAGCGTACAGCGGACAATTCAAGGTACATTTTACCCCAGTGCCCAGCTCAGCATGCATGCTGGCATTGGATTCTCTGTGCCGTGCCCCTGATTTGAGAGCCCCCATTCCTGGTCCCCGAACCCACCTCTAAACACCAATGGCTTGTGCCCAGCGCCTGCTCTGTGTTGTGGATTCAGGGAACCGTGATTAGAAGAGTTAGAAGCTCCAGAGGGAAGTCAGGACAGGGCTCCGGGGACGGCCAGCCGCCCGCCTCTCTGCTGCACTGGGAAGCCCACTTTGCTGGTGTTGAGTGAAGGATCTGAGGGTGGCTTAGTCTCCTCGACAGGTGCAGTGGTGCTCCAGGTGGATTAATACAGGGCTGTAGGGTGAAGCCTGTGTCTTTATGGTTGGGGTCACAGTTTCGTGTCATCAGTAAGAAGTAAAAAATGACCTCTGCAGCAATTGTAGTAAGAGTGACTGAGGCTGGCTGGCTTTTGTCTGGTTTTCAAAGCTCACCAACAACAAATCCTTAAACCAGACACCTGCCAATTCAAGACATCCTGTGGCCACAGGGAAGCTTTCCTGCGGTGGGGAGGGTCTTCCTTCCCCCTATAGTACTAGGCAGCTGCTGATGGAAATCAGCCCCAGCATTATCCATAACTTCAAGTGACTGTTTTATCACCTCAGCTGCGCTCAGGAACTGCACAACCTGTTAAAGAAAATCTGCTGCTCACACACGTCCGACCCCAATGGTGGGTGTTTATATGCCAGCTGCCCACACCCAGTGAAGCAAGGGCTGCCATTTAATCCTGACATCATCCACTGAAAGTGCTGAGCTCACAAGCTGGGGTCCAGCCCCACAGCATTGCCTCCAGGACAGAGCCAGTGGCAAGCCTGGACAAATGAGCAGATGAGGTGCATAGGCTGAGGTCTGGGAGGGTCCTTATCACAGGGGATTCAGTCCTATGTACAGATGTTGGGGGCCCTACATTCCTACATCAGCCCAGAAAGTTCTCCAAATCCCTTTGGGTAAGATTTATTGGCGCACGCCTTTAATCCCAGCACTTGGGAGGCAGAGGCAGGCGGATCTCTGTGAGTTCGAGGCCAGCCTGGTCTACAGAGCGAGTTCCAGGACAGTCTCCAAAACAATACAGAGAAACCCTGTCTTGAAAACCCCAAAAAAATTTTATATGGAGGTCCTATTACATAGCTTTGATCAATAAGTCAGTGGCCACTGGCACGGCTCAGTCCCCAGCCTTTTAACCAGTCTGAACCCCAACAAGGGGCTGGGGTGCCCAACCTTCTACTCACAGATTGTCCCTTGAGCGACCTGCCCCTCTCCAGCCAGTCAACACATGAATGCAAGCTCCTGCATGGATGAAGGGGGAAGTTGCTTTTGACACAGGACTCTGTTCTCTGTACTTAGAAATCCCAAGGGCTTGGACTCTCTTGTGAACCAGGTGAAGTTCAAATGTAAATTTGTTTCACATGCCTTTTTATACATTTTAGTTACAGTTGTGTTTCAGGAACTCTGCCAGGAGAGACATAAACTGTCTACCACTAACAACAAACTAAAGGGTTCCTCCAAAGTCCAACTTGGGGAACCAATGGGTTCCTTTGGTTCGTTCACGGAGCCCCGGTGAAGGTGGGTGACCCTAAAGCAGCCGCTCCCACATGAGTGACAGCTTCCCCATGGATGCATCCATGGGGTCCCCCTGCTTCCTGTTAACCTTCCACACACTGTATACTCAAGCACCTCCTAAGACCACAAGGTCATGTGCACTTACATACATCGAGCTGAGAGGTGCAGGAGCCGGTGGCTGGAATCTCGGGAGACCTTAGTGAGTGGGATGAAGAGACGGTTGTGATGTTCAAGGGTGTGGGGACTGTGGGGAACTGGTGTGGGAGCCCTTTTAG